TCTCCCGGGGGACTCACAGGGCCTGGCCCACCTCCCTCCCCTCCTCCCCTCCCCTCCTCACCTCCCCTCCTCCCCTCCTGTCCTCCCCTCCCCTCCTTACCTCCCTCTTCACGGACTCTCTGCAAGTCCAAGACCAGGGAAGAGAAACAGGTCTTGGATTTGGGCTAAGTGGATCCCCCAAGGCACAGATCTGGTATTGGGTAGAACCAGGATTCAAAGAAGGGTCCACTGGGGGAGGCCCCTGAGTTATCAGATGAGCCTGAGCAGGAGGAGGCAGGAGAGGTTGTGGGGGGGGGGCTGGTGATGGGAGTCCCCGCCCCCAGGCCACAGGAAGGACGAGAGAAGGGCTCAGCTGCTGCGGAGACCCATGGCCGCTCCCCAGCCCAGGAACAGGCCTGGAGGAGGCAGGAGTGCCCCTAGTGGCCCTAAGTGTCCCCAGTGCAGTGCAACCCGGGCTCCCTGCGGGCGCAGGTGTGGGTGCTTTGTGCAGACAGACGATGGGATGGCCGAGTGCAGTCCTCACCCACAGCGCCACCCCAGGCTGGGTTCAAGTCCTGGCTCCACCGCCCACGGGCTGCTGGACCTTGAGCAAGTTTCCTAACCCTTCTAAATCTGTCTTCTTGTCTCTCACCTGGGGGTGTAAAGACAAGGTCTCCCCCACTGGGCCATGGTGAGGGTGACAGAGGACGCAGGCACAGAGCAGAGGTGGCAGAGATGGCGGGTTCTGCCCTCACTCAGGTGCTCATTGCTGTCTTGCAGGTTGCCTCCACTTTCAGACCAAGGACCCTAGAGGATGGAGGCCTCGGGGTGGTGGCCGCTGGTCACTGTGCTCGTGGCTGCAACTCCTCTTCTGGCCCAAGGAGACTCGGAGCTCACGGACCGTGGCCCCCAGGTCAGCCCTCCCAGGCCGGCCCTGCCCTGCCACAGAATTTCCGTGAGCAACATCGACTTTGCCTTCGGCCTGTACAGACGGCTGGCACTGGACGCCCCTGGAGAGAACCTCCTCTTCTCCCCAGCGAGCATCTCCCTGGCCTTGGCCACAGTGTCCCTCGGGGCCCCGGCGGCCAGCAGGACCCAGCTCCTGGAGGGCTTGGGGTTCAACCTCACCGTGATGTCCCAGGCCGAGATCCAGGAGGGCGTCCAGGACCTGCTGCTTAGGCTCCCCACGCGGGACTCCCACCTGCTCCTGACCACAGGCCAGAGAAGCTTCCGCAGCCTGGGCCCCGGGGCCACCCAGAAACACATCAAGGAGTACGTGGAGGAGCAGACGCAGGGGAGGCTTGGGGCCTGGGTGGAGGACCTCGGGGAGGAAGCCGCTGAGGTTCTGGTGAATCACGTGGCTCTCAGAGGTAAGGTGCGCCTCCAAGGCAAGATCCTTCTGGGTCCCCAGCTCTGGCCATGTCCTCCTCCTGCTCCCCACAACCAATAGAAGCTTCCTCAGCCTCCCTCGACTTTTGGATAGAAGGCACTCAGCGTCTGTCCCCTGAATCCTGGATGCTTCTGCCTGTTACCTGCAGTGATGGGGCTCCCCACCACCTCTTAATGTTAATTGTTGAGACTGTTTTCAAAGAAGGACCTCCAAACCTTTAATGTGCTTAAGAGCTCCCTGGAGAGCTCATCCCCTAGGGATTCTGGCTCAGGGGGTGGACAAGTCCCCAGAGGACCAGACCCTCTTCCTCCATAGGGGACTCTGCTGCAGGGGGCTGGGGTCTTCCCTGTGTGCAGCCCCATGAGCCACCGCTGAATTACAGGGCGTGGGTCCCCCTCCTCTGGCAGGTCCCAGGAAATGTGGGTTCACCAAGAGAGTCCTGAAGCAGAGGTTCCTTTATTTTTTCCAAAAGAGCCAAGAGGCCTGCACTCCCACCATTGCGGGGTCAGGGTCCGTCACTAGCCTGTCCCGACCGATGGGAGGTTTCAGCCCATTGCTTTGGGCCAGAGCTCACTCAGTGCACCAGGCCCCGCACCTGACAGGGCACAGCTGCTCACTCCACAGCCAGGAAGCAAAAGAGAGGACAAGAGAGAGCCTGGGGTCCCACAGTCCCCCAATGACCTGCAGACCTGCAACCAGGCCCCACCCCTTAACATTTTCACCACGTCCCTCTGAACCACCTTGGGGACAAGCCTTCCACACACGGGCCTTGGGGGACATTCAAAATCCCAGGTGTAGCAGGGTGGTAGTACCTTTGCAATTGTAACACTATTAAATTATTGTAAAAACAGAAAGAGAGAAGCTCACACAGGACGAGGGCTCAGCCCCTGGGGTCACCTGGGTAATAAGGTGGAGTGGGTGGTGGAGCAGGGCTCTGCATCCAGGTGTGACTCCAGGACCCGGTGCCTCAGCCCCACCCCAGCTGCCACAGGTAACCCCGGGCCCTCCTCCGTTCTCTGCAAGGACAATGTGTCATTTCCCTCCCCCTCAGCTGAGTGGGCACAGCCCTTTGACCCCGGGGCCACCAGCCTGAGAGAGTTCTTCCTGGACGAGCGCAGGGCCGTGCAGGTCCCCATGGTGAAGCAGAAGGCCAGCCACCGCTTCCTCCACGACCCCGAGCTACAGTGCACCGTGCTGCAGATGGACCACGCCGGGAACGCCACCACCTTCTTCGTCTTCCCCAACCGGGGCCAGCTGGGGCAGGTGGAGGAGGCCCTGCTGCCCGAGACGCTGATCAAGTGGGACAGTCTGCTCAGGACCAGGTGGGCTCCCAGCAGGCCGGAGGCAGGGCCTCACCTCCCTGCCCAGACCCCAGGGTGCTGTCACACCCCACGGCCCTGCCACTCCTGGGCCTGGTCACACCTGGCCCAGACAATGTCACCTCTAGGTGAGGTCCCTGGTCTCCCTGAAAGCACCATTATGGGCCCGGGACCAAGACTCTGGAATCCAGTTCTGGTCCCGGCTCTGCTGCAGACCAGGCAGCACCCTGGGCCAGGGCCTCCCCTCCCAGGATCCGGGTTTCCTCAGAGGTGGAAGGCCAGTGATAACCACAGGGACATGTCAACGGTCACTCTGTTCTATGGTAGCAGGCGAGGAGGACACCTGCCCGTGCTGGGGTCTGGCAGCCTGCACAGCAAGCCCCAGCCCAGCATGTCCCTAAGAAAGAAAAGGACCCAAGAGGCTGGTGAGACAAGGGTCCAGGAACGAGGAGCGGCCTGGCTGGTCCAGGGAGCCCGAGGGAGGCAGGAACAGGGAGGAGTGTGGACAGGTGCATGGGCTGGAGCCCCGGGCCCTGGACATGCAGGCACGAGGCAGACGCTGAGCACAGGAGCTGGGCACCACAGAAAGCTCTCACCCTGCCCACGACTGGCAGGGGGTGAGTGGGGCAGAGACCAAAGGCAGGGAGAGGCCACAGGGAGAGGCCGCAGGGAGAGGCCGCAGGGCGAGGCCGCAGGGCTGGTGGAGAGCTGGGGTGGAAGGGGCCCCCTGGGACTCACACAGGCCCTTCCCAGATTGGCTCAGCAAACCAATTTCTGTCTCCCCACAGAGAACTCGACTTCTACTTCCCCAAATTTTCCATTTCCAGCACCACCAGACTGGAGATGCTCCTCCCACGAGTGCCCGTGGGCGGAGGCCTCCCCGGGCAGCCTGGACTGGGCATCTCTAGGGTAAGTCCAGGCGGGGCCCAGTGGGGGCTTCTGACAATCCCTGGAAGCCGCGGGACCCCTCAAGGTGACATGCTGCTGCCTTAACCTTCAGGACCGTGGCTTCGCCGCCCCGTCCCACACCACTGCGACCCCCTGGGCCAAGACTCGGGCTCTCTCTGCAGCTGGCTCAGGTCAGGCCAGGCCCCAGAAAGGAATGAAAGGAGACCCACAGAGCCAGCCCCCTGCCAGGGAGGAAGCAGAGGGCAGAGCCGGAGGCTGGGGGAGGGTGACAGCCTCGCCCCCACACCTCCCTGTGGCTTTCTCAAGGACATTCACCAGGCCCAGCCCCAGCCTGGTGCCACATCAGCACCCCCCAGTGGACAGATGAGGCAAGTGCTGCCATCCCATTTTGTAGATGAGACTGAGCTTGCAGTGTGTTAGTTCCTGTGCTGCTTCAGTAACAGACCACCAGGGACCAGGTCATCTGTAAATTGACTACCTCATGGTGCCGGAGGCTGAGGAGCCTGAGGTGAAGGGGCTTCACCTGGTGAGTACCTTCTGGCTGTGTCATAACAAGGAGGAAGGCCAAGCCAAAGCTCAGAGAGAAAATGGGCCACCCMTTGCTGTGGTGACCGGCCTCTCGCCCAAGGTGGCATTCATCCATTTGTGAGATCAGAGCCTCCACAGTCTAATCCACTCAAAGGCCTGCCTCTTAGTCCTGCTCCTGGCAATGACTCTCCACACGGGCCTTGGAGGGGCCAAGGGAATTACCCCCAGTGACCACGCTAGTTAGTGTCCAGCCAGGATCTGAGCCTGGGGCAAGTCGTTGAGCACCGGGACCTGCATTTGTCTCCTCAACCAGCCCTGGGCACCTCCCCATTACCTGCATGTCACACACACCCCAGAGGGGACAGTGGGTTTGAGGCCAGGCAGGCCTGAGGCCTGGCTTTGTCTTACGTTAGCTGTGTGGCCTTGGGCTACATCACCTCTCTGGGCCTTTGTTTCCTCACCTGACGATTGGGACCCTGGACCCTGTCTCAGCAGGAACACCTTGTCCAATGTCACAGCAGCACAGGGTCCTCCAGCTTCAGGCTGGGTGAACTTTCACTCAGCAGTGGTGATAAAAGAGATGTGATGGTGGAGTGAGGAATTGGTTGGCCCTGGACAGAGCTGGGGTAYAAAGATAGAGCCGTGAGCAGAGCAAAGTTGGCATCAGGTGGATGCAGCGGCAGGACAGACCATGAGCACACAAACAGACCTGCAATAGGTCAGGTGGCAATAAACCCACAGATAGAGCAGTGTAAGCAGGTGGGGATGGGGTCTGTCCAAGGAACACTAGTCTTGGAGTTCTTGATGGGAAAGTGACCTGAATAAGGGGAGGAAAGGAGTTCTTGGTAGAGTGCTCAATATGTGCAAAGGCCCTGAGGCATGATCACACCATCCAAAGCCAGTGAGACTGGAACATAGTAGACAAGAAGAAGTGCCGTGGGAGGTGGAGAGGACAGAACTCATCAAGATCAATAAGACTTTGATTTCCCCAAGAGTGAGACAGAACTCCACCGAGGGCTTTAACAGAAGAGTGATACAATGAATTCCCCTAAGTTAGAAAAAGATCATAAATTATACAGGGGTGAGAGCACAGAGCAGCTGAAAGGTGATGGATGAGGGGAAACAGGTGGAGCTGGGATTTGGACCTGGGCAGATAGTTCCCAAGTCCAGGCTTGTACGGGTGTCCACAGTGCCCTCAGGAGGCTGTGACCACTCTGTAAATGAGGGAGATGGTTCCCGTTCAGCTCCTCCCAGTCCCGTTTCTCTTGCACCCAGAATTTGAGGCCCCCTGTGATCTTCTCTCGACCCATCAGCTCACGGGAGGGTGATGTGTGGTCACGGACCTCACCTGTGACTGCCGTACCCTCACCTGCAAGAACCGAGCTGGATCCTAGAGCCAGGCCCCGCCCTCATTCCGTGGCCCCGCCCTCATTCCGTGGCCCCGCCCTCATTCTGTGGCCCCGCCCTCATTCCGTGGCCCCGCCCTCATTCCGTGGCCCCGCCCAGTGTCTTGCTGGTCCTCCTTAACCTCTTTCCTCTCCAAGCCCTCCTTGGTTTCCATGGAAGCATATTCTTCAGAAGTCTCCTGCCAACTCCAGGATGAAGCCCCCTCCTCACTGATCTGCTTCCTCCATTGTCTCATCCTAGCTCCCTGGCCAGCCCTGTCCCCTACTGTCTGTGCCGTACCATTCCACTGAATCTCATGGGGCCATAGATGTCCTCAGCTTGCCCCTCCCTGTCTTGGCTTGGACTTTAAAACAAACAAACAAACAAAAAAACCCACCTGAAGTGTCTTCACTCATCTCCAAAAATCCAAATTCTCCCTCCTCTGTGGAGCTTCCTCTGACCTTATCCCTCACCCTTGCTCCTGAAGCAGAACCAGTCTCCCCTGGCAAGCCCCCGCCCTTGGTTTTCCATGTCTTCTCTGCCCTGTCAAACACAAGTGCCTTGCGGGAGTCGTGCCCATAGCCCCCTGCTGTGCTTGGCACTGTGGATCCTATATACTCCATAAATATTTACTGAATCTATTCATGAATGAATTAGGGATGGAATGAATGAAAACAAATGATCAAAATAATGTGGATGAAAGAATCAGTAAAGGATGGGTGGAAGAGTCGTTGTATGGACACAGGAAGAAATGAGTGGAGAAACGGGTGGGTAGATGCCGGCGTGATATTCAAAGTACACTGCGACCTGCATAATGCAGATGCCAGCAGTGGAAACTTAAACAGGGGGACAGAGAGGTGGATCGGGGAACAGAGGGGATCATGTAGGGGGATGGATGGGTGGTGAGTGTATGGGTGATGCATGGAGGAGGGGGTGGGGAGATGGATGGACTGTGGATGGATGGATGAGGGATGGATGAGGAATGGATGGTGGATGAATGGATGGATGGATTGTGGATGGATGATTGATGGAGATGGACAAGTGAATGGGTGAGTAGATGGCTATATGAACACATAAGCAGTAGATGAATAAAGTCATAGTTAAGCAGATAGTTGACAGGTTAGGTGGATGGATTATGGTTTGCTGAATAAATGGATCAGTGGATCGATGATGGATGGACAGGTATATTTAAGAGTACTAGGTGGATAGATGAGTGAATTTTTCAAAAGGCAGATGCAAGGATGGGTGACGGGGTAAGTGGATGGATGGACAAGTATGGGGTCATGCAAAGAAAGAGAAAGAAAATTGGGGTTGAGTGATGATTCCAGAATTTTTTGTACAGGTGACTCATAAGGCCACCATGACTCTGGAGGAGAAGGGCTCAGAGGCTGCGGCCGCCACCAGCATCCAGCTCACTCCCAGGCCCCACCCTGACCGTGCGCCCCCCACCCCTCCAGCCACTGGGTTCAGCCGGCCCTTCCTGGTGATGACTTTCCACACAGAAACGGGCAGCGTGCTTTTCCTGGGGAAGGTGGTGAACCCGCTGGGGTAGAGCTCTGCACCTGCTTGGGTGACTCAGAGCCAACAGAGAGGAGACACGGAGTCATCTGTGAAGACATCCCGTGACATCATCAGGTTGTCTGAGACTGGGTCTCTTTGTCTGGAAGTGAAATGGGAACTATTTTGCCTCAGTGGAGAGGGCGAGACCCCTTGGACAGTTTCACGCAGCCACAAAGATAACTCTGGCCCACGCACCACGACCCTCTGTTGCAGAATCAAGTCTAACGAGAAGCRGCAGATGTCCAGCTCACTGGCTCGGTTTTCATGAGTATCCACAGGTGCAAAGAATAAGAGGAATCCAGGCCCTGCCCACCATGTGCACACAGGCAGCGACCATCCATGAACTCCCTCTGGGCACCACTTGCTTTATAGATCGTATCTCATTTAAAAATAATGTCTCTCAGCAACCCAACAAGTTTGAGGTGCGGTCATAGGAAAGTGGCTTGTATTTGGCCCGTTTTTAAATTTTACAAAAAAAAAAGGGCTCTTTTTATGGTTGAATCTAATATTATTTCTCCCTTTTCATAGTTGAGGATTAGAGAAGCTGAGAAATAAATCCAGGAGGGCTCAGCAGCAAGCAGCAGTCCTGGGATTCGGGCCATTTTATTCAAAGCCTTGACTGTGTTGTTCTCATCCATTTTGACGAGTTAATGAKTCTCAAACTCCACTGTACATTCCAGCCCCCTGGGGATCTTGTTAAAAAGCAAAACTCTCTTCGGCAGGCCAGGGTGGGACCGGAGGGCCTGCATTTCTCAGTGGTGCTGAGGCTTCTGCTCTGGTGGCCACATTTGGAGTAGCAGGTCCCAAATGCTCTTGCCCCTKTGACAGCAGGAAGGGTGGACCTTGTGTCACCAGCAAGGCAGAAGAGTGGCATTGGGTCTTTGATCCCTTTGTGGGACTGAGCAAAGTGTCTGGCAATATCTGTTTGAAATCTGCAGACAGAGCTGCTTCAGGGTCACCTATGAATGGGTGTCCTGGGGGAAAACAGGTGTTCTAAATATTTCTCCTGGTTTTAAGCAAACCATGGTGTGTATCACCCTCCACCTCAGCCTTCGCATCTGAAGGGAGCCACACAGGCCTGGGACCAGACACAGGAGAGACCAAATCCCATACCTGGTGCAAAGCAGGTCCACTGAGAACCAGCTTGACTGAGTCCATTGAGACCCGTGCACTAAGCTGGTGTATTACAAACAGGCAGGAAAGGGTGACAGGACCCTGGGGTCCTCTGTGAGCTGGTCCCCCAAAGCCTGTGTCTCTCTAGGGATGTGGCTCAGGGATTGAGTGCCCTTGAGTTCAATCTCCAGTACCCAAAAAGCAAAACAAAACAGAACAGGTGTTTCTAAGGAGAAGTAGAGCAGAGCCCGGTCAGCCCTGGCCAGTCTTTCCCTATCCCAGGCCACTGCTCTCCCTGCACCTTCTACAGGGATTCTGGAGAAATACAAGTGAGTAGGAGGGGGGRGAACTGGGTCTGTGGCAAGGACTATGATGAGCTGGAGATCCCCTGCCTGATCCAAAGGGGCACCAGTGGTTAGCTGCCTATGAAAGTGGCTTAGACTAGTTTGTATTTGTCCTCACGTGCCAGGGTGGGCTGGCGTGTAGTTCACCCAGGCAATGGGAGCCCTGGCTGGTGGAGCATGTGGGTGTGCCACCCCAGGGGTCTTCTCCACTTGCACGCTTGCAGAGGGCTCACAGCACCTCCAACTTCCAACCAGCAAGGAGCAGGCAGGAGAAGGGGAAGGACAAACCCATTCCCATGAATGATTCAGCCCACAAGTTACACCCGTCTCCAGCTCATACCCCAGTCGCATGGTGCACCCTGCTGCAGAGGCAGGAGAGAGAAGGAGCGTCTGTCTCAGATGACCACCTGCAGGACAGACCTCAGGGCTTCTCTTCCTTGAGAAGGAAGGAGGAATGGCTGCTGGGGAACACCCGCCTCAGCCTCAGCTCCCGCCAGCCTCCGGAGGTGTCTCCTGCTGACCCTGTGGGGGGTGGAGGCTGCAGCAACTGAGGTCTCACAACCAGAGCCCAGGGCAGCAGAGCCCCAGCTCCTCAGCCCAAGAGAGGCCAAGAGCCGGAGCCAGCAGGGATCCCAGCACAGGATGGATAGGCTCTCTTGAATGGCCCTTCCATCACTCATTCCACAAGCATCAGTTGAGTGCCTGCTGTATGCCAGGCACTGGGYATGTGCTCACAGAACTTAAATGATGGGGGTGAGAATGGGGGTAGGAACCCACCCTGCCAGAGAGCCCATGGAGAAGACAAAGTCATTTGGCACCCGACACCCCAGTGAGGAGGGCCCTGACACCCTGATCTAAGYGGCTGCTTTGGGGTAGGGTTTGGGGGCATATGGTGAAGAGTGGAGCTAATTTTATATTTTACAAGGAAAGAAATTATAAGATCAGGCCAACAAAGCATGTTTGGAGGAATGGTCAGAGCCCAGGGGCTGCTATCTGGGACCCCAACYCCCCTGGACAATTCAGCCTTTCAGAGAAAAGTCCAGCAAGAAGTTCAGCCTGCACCCATTGGTCCTGCCATAACACCTGTCTTCAGGCCCATTATGTGTAACACCCAGAGGCTACAAGTCCCTAATAGTAGAGGAGCTGGTGACATCTCCATGCCCGCCAGTGACCCACCTCACCCAGGGGCACGGCCGCCTACTGGTTGGGAGCCAGTTCATCTCCCTGCTTGGTCTGTACTTGGTAGCACATTTCACTCCTCCATCTCTGTATAAATGAAYGGGAAGCAGCCTCATCATGCATGGGGGTGATGTCAGCACCTGCTCCACAGGGTGTRGAGGTGGAAGAGTCAATGAAGGTGAGGTGTTTAGAGCTTTCCTCACAACAGGTCAGTGCCAGAGGAGGGCACACTCTTGTCACCACCTGAGTGGTTGGACAGTGGCCCCCAAAACGTGCAATCCCTGGGCCTGGGCCTGTGACCTTGATTAGAAAAAGGGTCACCACGGGATCTCTGCGAGGACTGAAGCTCCGTGCACCCTCCCTACCTCTGCCCATCTCCACTGAAGGGACTCGTACTGCTTTGCCCCTCCAGTTTGGCCAGGCTTCTGGCCCAGACCCACACTCTGAGAAATGATGTGGTTCAGACATCTCACAATACCTAGGCCAGGAGGGGCCCTCCAGCTGTCATGGCCCCAGAGTCCTGCAAGGAGGAAGCTCAAAGGCCAATATACCTCTGGGACCAACAAGCACAGGTGACATGGGACAGACCATCCTGCCACACTCAGGCTAGCCAGAACTCAAGGAGCTCACGGCAGAGGGGAAAGGACTGTGCTGGCCAGAGGTGAGACAATCAAACCGGCTAGGAGATGACTGGATGCCAGCCACCTGGCATCAACCCAGGAAGGACAAGGAGAACCAGTGGCACTTTGGAAAGACTGTGGGGGCCAGGAGAGCTAGGAGATGACTGGATGCCAGCCACCAGCTGTGTGACTCTAAGTGGCTTGGTCACTCTGAGCCTCTGTCCCCACCTTGGTAAATGGAGGCCAGACACTGTTTCAGAATTGAGGGATATTCCCCCGCCCTGTGAACCCTGCCTCAACTAGGGCTCCTTGCATTTGTCAGCCGAGGAAACTCAGGGACAGAGTCTCCCAAACAGAGGTGAAGTCTGCCTCCCCCCAGATCCCATAGCACCCCCCAAGCCTCTTCTGCACCCTGAGCCCCCTGGCCTGTGCATTTCGGCAAGGGTCCACCTCTGGCTCCTACAACAGACGGAACCGCGTCTGAGCCAACTCTGGATCCGCGGGCCATCAGGTCTGGCTGGCTGGAACCCACCGCAGCCCTGGGCGGTCCCAAGAGCACAGAAGGGAGCAGGGGAGAAGAATCCCACCCTCACACGCACGCACACGTGGAGCATGCTGGGGAGAGGGACAGCAGAGCCCTGGACGTGGCTGGCAGAGGGAGGCAACCGGGAGACAGGACAGAAAACTTCACAGGCCCCCAAAGCAAAGCAGGAAGAGTTGTTTCCAGGGAGCTTGGAGCTGGCCTCCTGCCCTACAGTGCTGTCACTTCACGGGTCTACAGGTCTCCCTGGAGACAGAGCCAGAGGAGTGGCCTGGGCCAYGGGGGCCTGCCGGACAAGATCTCACCAAGCCAGCCTTGGCGTCCCTGACTGCCCTGCTCCTGGGGAGGGCGACTAAGGGAACTGGTCTAATATGGTCGGCAGCACGAGCCCCAGATGCCCCACTGCTCATTAGGAGAGCCCAGAAGGTGTGGCCCTTAAAACCAGCTGCTGTGCCCATCACACGTGGGGCTCTGCCTACTGGACCCAGGGCTGGCTGAGCCCACACACGGAAAGCTCCCGGGCTGCTCAGAAGGAAATGCATTGGCAAGTCAGCTGGGCCTCTGAATTCCTCTTTTTTCCCCCTTTATTATAAACAAGAAATTTGAGCACGAGATCTTGAAAGGCCAAGGTTCGTGGTCGGAGATTAAAATGCACACACACAGACAGCCGCGACACAGATGAAGCGCTTGACTGCCAGCTGGTGCTAGCTTATCTAGAAAGTGAGAGTCAGTGATCTTACACCAGGAAGCTCCCGGGGCCAATCACATGAAGGTCAGGTCATCACCTACGGTGCACCCACGTCCGCCCTGCATGAGATTCATGGGGGCAGGAGCTGTCCACGAGTGCGGAAGACGGGAGGGCCAATTAGAAGGTTTTCAAAACAACTTGTTATCCGCCCACTGGCGACTTGCCCACSGCCCTGTTGCATTAGGGGCTCCTTATCTGAAAGGCCCTGGAGTTCTAGCCGCCCACTGGCAATTTGCCCGCCGCCATGTTTGAAAGGCCCGGGGAGTTCTCAGGGAGACTCCCAACAGATCTACCCTTTATTCAGGGTACAGCACAGTCGTATTAGCTACAGGCACAAGGTTGTACCGTGGATCTCTAGAACCTATTCATCTTGGATAATTGAAACTTTATGCCCATTGATTGGCTGCTCCCCATTTCCCCTCCCCCACCCCAGCAGTCGCCCTTCTACTCTCTGTGTCTATGGGCTTGACTGTAGTGGAGACCTCACGTAAGTGGCATCACATGGTAGTTGTCCCTCTGTGACTGGAAAGTGGTCTAATAGGGACATTTAGCAAAATGTCCTCCGTGGTCATGCATGTTGTCACAGATTTCAGGATTTCCTATTTTTTAAAGCTGAATGATATGTTATCATATGTACATGGTGAGTAGGCCGCCTCCGGAATGGGAGAAAACATTTACAAACTGTATGTCTGACAAGGAGTTAATGTGAATAATACRTAAGGATCTCCCACCAATCAAAGAGTGGGGAACTAGACCCTCATCTCTCACCCTGCACAACAATGAACT